GAATTTGTGAGATAAGATAAATAATTGGAACTTGATCAATAAGCAGCCAGGCTGCAGCTGGGATTTTTTTCTGTCCTAGTATAAGATGATATTTATTATCAAGAAAGGACAAGTAGGACAGTTTAATGCACCCTTTGAAGTATTTGTAACACAAGCTCAACAATAGCTTCTCTTCACAAATATCTGCTGGGGTTTTTACCACAATTGCAAGTGTTGTCAGTTTGAAAGGGTTTGAGATCAGGAAGAGAAATCACGAATGACAAAATATCAGAGAAAGGCTCTTCTTTTCAGGGATGTCCTTGCCCAGCCTAGGAACCAAACTTGGGTTTGGTTCACAGGCCACAGAGCAGCAAACATTTCTGCTAAATTTTCAAATGACTGGGGATGAAGATCAAGAAGAGATTTAATACTGGGCACCATGTCATTGTTTTAGTTACTGTTTTTTTTTCAGCAAAAAATGGCCAAAGCAGGTTGACCCAAGGCGCTAAAGGGTCACAGTGCAATTCAACCTCAAAATTTGACAGTCAAATTGCAGAGGCCAAATTGCAAGTTACCATCTGTCCTCAGCCTTGGACAAGGTCCAAAATTACAGTGGAATTTCCTATTTAAAATGTGATATATGTCTTTTGTCGCAAAATTTGTTAGAATCGGAGGATCCCCGTTAATCTCGTGGGAACCCAAGGCCACCAAAACTCACACAGCCTTCTCTTCAAAGAGACATTCCTCCCCAACCTCCAAGGTCAATTCATTCCTGTATTTCCTACTTTCTGAAAGGTCATCTTTAACTGACCTTCCATGAAGTTTTCCTGGTCACTAAATTCATTCCAAAACATTCATTCAAACAGTGTGATTTGTACTGGCACCATTGGTTGTTGTGTTTTCAGCAAACTTTGCAATTATTTTTGGACTTGTGTTTTCAATCCAAGAAAATATAACAACCTTAAACTAGGGTGTTATTCACCCTGGCCGCAGCTCAGCTGATTGTGGTTTTTCATTTCAACAAATAATATTTAATCACATTTATTTCTCACATCTTTGACCCAAAAAAATGAACACAGTAAAGATCATAAGCTTTGATGATATTCATCATCTCAGCAGAATTCTTCCTGATTCACACACACTTTTTTGCAAATGCTTTCAAAGATGACTGATGATATTACTATAAGGAAGGAGGTGTTCATTGCTTTTTTATTGAATTGCATATTTTGTTACAGGTTTTTAGTGGTGGGGCATTTTTATTGGCTACTTTTGTTGAAGTTGGAGATATTGTAGCATCTTCCTGCATTAGTTTTGCGTTATAAAGATCTTGAGGGTTTCTTGATTCTCTGGTAGTTTTGTTACTATTGCCTCTGTTTCATTTTATCTCCCTTTGGAGCAGTTCTAAACATTTCTCAAGATTTATCACAGCAACAGCCATCATGTCTGGACTCCAGCATTTTTCCTGACAAATATGACTTGAAATAGTGTGAGCGAACAAAAAATCCCTTGCACCATTATCTAAAATGTAGAAAAGCAGAAACAGGGTAAAAAAAAATTGTGTTCATCTGAAATCCAAAAATTCTGAACACATCAGAATATGCCAAGTACGTCGTTTTTTATTTCTTTTTTTTCACTTTCACAAGTTCTTGACTCACATTTTTCGAAAATCCATGGATTATCCCAACTAAAAATGGCCTCATAATTTACAACAGCCTCGTTTTCCGATTTTCTGCTTTTGCTTTCTACAATGATATTCCACACTCACTGCTCGCTGAAAGTCTTTTGAAGTTTCAAATTTTCTTCGAGTGCTGTGGTTGCAGGGAAACGCGTTGACTGAAAATGCGGAGGAATGGCCAGCGGAAAACTGCAGTTTTTACCGCATTATTCCTATTCTTGGCCTTTGCTATGCTGTCATTTTTATACTATTCCCCGAAAGAATTCACGCATTCATTTTTGGTCAACAATACCAACGTAAGCTCACCACCTGCTGGCGAAGTATCAATTTCTACAAAAATACCCGGTTTCGAAAAACCCTTTGGCGAAAGTCCTGAAGAAGACCAACGTCTGCTGGAACACCTTCAAAAAAGTGTTTTGTGGCCACCATCCAAAGAGGATTACAATTTGCTTCAGCCAAATGCTGCTGGTAATTCTGAAGGAGGTTTCATCACGAAACACGTCATCCCAAAATATTTTCCAAATGTAAGTGTCACAATGAGTTTCACTCATAGTTCTTCTTTTACAATGATAGTTCTTTTGGCAAATTCATGGCACTTGAGTAAAAATTCATCCAATTGCCAAGTGTCTAAGTGCTGGTGTAACACCTGCAGCATAAATACAATAGTTCGCACATCACAAGAGCACCTTTGCTTCTTTTGTCCAGCATTTCATACTGATAGAAAGAAGCTTAAGATAGATTTACAAGTACAGGAATTCAATGAAGAGACTTTTTCTGAAATCTTGAAGGATCAAGATAAATTGTTGGCTTTATATGATTTCTCATCAAAGATTCTCTGTAATTTGTTCATTCAACTAAACCTCATACAGNCTCTGTAATTTGTTCATTCAACTAAACCTGATACAGAAACAAGCTGAAGACCTTGTGCTTTAAATTAATTTTTACATATATTTTGTTATCAATGTCAGGGAATGAATGGGTGTATATGCATACATGTCAGATGTCCAGTTGTATTTCATGTTTCATCGTATTTTCTTTTATTTCTGTTAGCAATTCGTGCTTTCCTGCTCTGAAGTTATTAAAATGTCATTGAGTGGATTTGGGTTGGGTGGGAAGGGGGGTTTGGTTATGGAAATCTTGAGTGAACCTTATTGTGAATGCTGAAAAGTGGCAAATAAAATGTTCTGTTCATTCATTCATTCATTCACAATGATTAAAATTGAGAAGCCATCTGCATACAAAGCAGTAAAATTCTTGCAGGCATTTTCAAATAACAATTGTTTATGATGAAAGCCCTGAGGGGAACAAGGGCAAACTCAAAATGTTGACTGAAAGTTGAAAGACGGACTCAATTTCTGGCGTCAAATTAATTTAACCCTTAGTTTCATGACGGTAATTTGAATCAAGATTAACAAATTCTCAGCATTTGCACCAGGAAATAAATGTAAAAGGAATGCTGTGCGAATTTTGGTGATGTCAAGAAAGTTTTTCCCTCTTGATTCAGAAGCAGCGTCTTTACGAAAAGTGTGTTGATAAACTCTGAATAAAATCTAAATTAATGAGCACGTCAAGAGGGAAATTGTGAAAATGTCTTACAACATTTTACCGGTGTCGGATATTCTTGGGACGCGCGGCAGTGGGAGAACCCTTGTATACCCGTTCTTTCGATTTTTTGAGTTTTTTTAATTTTTTCCTACACGTACACATGAATTTGATTAAAATTCTCCAAAAAACGTTTTTATAATACTGTATTCTTCAGGTCACAAATGGCGTCTTCTTCGAAGCCGGGGCATTGGATGGGGAAACCTTGTCCACGACGTTGTATCTCGAGAGATTTAAAAACTGGACGGGGTTGATTTCGGAAATGAACCCCCTGGGAGTGGACAGGATTGTCCAGAAGAAACGGAAATGTTGGCTCGCACCTGCTTGTCTGTCTCCGACAAACACTCCTTCCAGAGTGAATAATTTATTTTTTAAAAACTATACATTTCTCTCTCCGACATCAATTTATTTCCTATACATACACAGTATATAGATAGTGGTAACCTGTGTACATTCGTCTTGAATTTTTAAATGATATACTCGTGCAGATGGTGATGCATTCTCGGTATGACCCAGCACATTTCTACACGACCTGGGGAGGGACAGTGAGTGAGAAAAACAAAGTGAAGAGAGGCAACCCGGACACCAAGAAGGCCACTGAGTTGGAAATCCACGCCATTGTACCTTGTTACCCCCTGACGGCCATTTTAATTGCAGCAAACGTCACTTCCATAGATTTCTTCAGTCTGGACTTGGAAGGACTTGAGCTGAAAGTCCTCAAGACTATCAACTGGGACTTGATCAACATCAAGGTTTTTTTTTCACTGTATATATAATACAATACTTACTCTGTCAGGTCTATATTGTGGTGCATTGACCACAAAGACGAACAAATTGAATATAAACTTAGGCTGAAAGAGAAATTCGAGATAAATAAAACACGTACGCCGCCGGGGACTTGGCAGGGAGCCTTCGGTGAGGTCTCCAAAAGAAAAGCGGTTCAAACTTATATTTCAGAACAAATAAACAACACTGATGAATTGAGATGTTTGCACTTCGCGAGGTGAATTGAGACTGTAATGTAAATTAGTGAGAGGGGGAAAATGGCGAGACAATTGGAATTCCACGCTGGAATTCCAACGTGGAGTTTTTCTGCGGGCGACGATCAGGAAAGGCGGCTTGCGCCACCTATCCCTTACATATATCATGATAGTCAAATATCAAAGACCACCAACGGAAAAACATAATTTCCAGAGAGATTTAGGGTAACCATGGCTGAAAGAATTTGGGCTAAAAACATTGTTGCTGCATTCTCTCCTATCAGAGGTGCTGCATATTTTAATTTTCAAAATCGTGGCAAAACAGTGGTGTTTGTAACTGCTTCCATTCATAATATGAAAATACCGCCGCATGCCTCAATTATTCAAGGCATAATACTAATTCAGGGTGAAATCAAATTGGACGGAAAACCACACAAGTATAAAAAGTTTGGTGAAAACTGGCAGTAAATTTCTCCCTTCCCACAACAAAAATCAAAACTGTTGCCACCAAGACATCTTGGATTCTACTTTTTCTGGCCATTTACAGGCATTTTGCCTCAACCCATCCTTCATCAGAATACTGGATCAAGTACGAGAGGAAGAAATTATTAAATACCAAAAAATATAGAATATAATCAATCCGTACTGTGTTCTGTTGTTGTAAATGGTTGTGTCAAAGAAAGGCTTTTCTCGGAGGTTATCTGTTGTGAAAATACTCTGGTCTCAATATATTTTGCTGGGTTCAAACAAATTGAAGAAAAGTTTTTAAATTTTAAATTAGGGATTGCATCAAGAATCCCCAGCCTTGTCCCTGGTTTAACTTGTTTTTTTTTCTATACCTTACTTCAGTGATCCACAGCCAAAAAATGCATCCTTGTGTTATTCTGACCTTTCTGTCCTCCATATACAGACATGAAATGGCCAAATGGTCAAAACCAGTGTACAAAACAAGTCTATACAATACATGCATAAGAGCTCAATTCAAAAGTTTTTGTAGCTTCTGTCTCTCCTGCTCATTTCATCCTTTCCACCTACAAATTAAAATTTGCGGTGCTTCAAAATTTAAAAGCTTTGCAACTGAGATCAGATGTTTCCAATTAAAAAGAGGTAAATTTTTTAAAGGGAAGTTAGACAGTGACTGATACACACAAATTTGAGTTGAAGAAATGTTTTTGACATATTGGGAGCAGGGATGAGTTATTTTAGGAGGTCCACTTGTCATTCATATACAGTCAATCCCCACACAAAAGATTTTTGCAGAACAGACTGCCTCTGGAGGCAGTTTTTCTGCTTGCATGACAGATAAAATCTGCAACACAGATTAAATTCTGTAAAAGTGTTTGCCCACAGTAAGTATGTGTTCCTCACTTCCACTGTTGCTTCTCAAATCCCAACTGAATTTGCATCACAGACTTTTCACATGACATACTAGTGAGGTCCACAAATCAAGTCTGTTGTGCAGGGGTTGACTGTACTGTCTGTGCATACAGCATATCATTAGTCAGCAGTCAGTACTCTCAGTAGATGACTGATGCGTCTAATGCTGGCTTTGTTTGTTTTTTTAAGGTAATCCACATGGACTTGCTTCATACAGATGAAGGTGAAGATGCTGTTCATACATTTTTGCAATCAAAAGGCTACAAACATGTGCACGGAAGAGGGGAACCCGTTTTGTTTGTCCAGGAGAAGTTTTTAAACTCCTTGAACTGATGCAACGTCATCAGAATGATTCCATGATGTCGCAAACTGCTATGGTTCAGAAATATGAAAATTACAGAGTTTTGTGTGTGTTGTGCTTATAAGAAACTGAATGATGGAGCATGAATTAAATATTCTCCCTAGGATTTGGCTATTTTCCACTTTTTACAGATAAATCGGGATGCCTGTACTTGAAACCTCACAGAAATTACAAGGAGAAGATTTGTTCAACTTCGACAATAGTCAAATGCTTTGAGCATAGGGCATGGCCTGATCTGCAAATGTTTGATGAATATGCAGAGGACAGTCCCGGAAAATTTTCCATTCAAGACCTATTTTATTTCAAGAAGAAAACCTTTAGAAAGAAAAATCATACGAATAAGATGACACAATTCCTAAAATTTGTACATAAAAGAGGGATCTATCTTACTATGGGTAGAATAAAGAATGCCTGCATGACACAAACAAAATGTATGGAAATCTAGATCAGTCACTTATTCCATATAAAGTCTCATGCACAGTATTGCTCTTTTCCTTAATAGAATTCCAAGCACTCTTTTAAAGAAGAGTGACCATGACATCACATACTTGTGATGTCACAATCATCAAATTATCTAGATCAGTGTTCCCCAACCCATGGTACTTGGACCAGTACCAGTCCACAGAAGTTTTTTTGATGGTCTACAGGATATTTTCAGCATATTACTTCCAGTGAAAGTAGCAATGAACTCTGTTAGGATTATCTAAAACTTTGGAAATGCAGGCAGTTGAAAGCATTTGATGAAACATGAAGGTCCGCTCATATCATAATACTGTAACAGTAATTCAGACACTTTTTTACTGGCTGATATAATTATTTTAATTTTCACCTCTCTAAGTTTTAATGAATGAATGAATGAACAGAAAATTTTATTTGCCGCTTTTCAGCATTCATGTCCCGGGTCGAACAGATGTCGCCCGCGGACTTTGAACTTTTCTCGGGACCACTAGATGTTGCCCCGAGCAACTCAGGTACAGCAAGGTACGACAGACGACGTGGCGTATGAAACGCCCCGTCGTCCATTGTATTCAGGAAGATTCTGGCGAATTCTGGACCTGAAAGAAAAAGGAATTTTTGAACAGAAATGTCTGTAAGAAAATAAAAAACAAGTTTCCCAAGAATCAACCAAACAAGCCAGCCCTGGAGGTAGTGATCTCCAGGGCTCATTCTTCCATGGTGAATCAACCCTGGAGTCAAAGGAAC